AGGGAGGCCATTAATATCATAATAGTAAGAGCATAGATTCTGAAGTCGGACAAACATCACTTTTATTCCAACTCAGTAAGTAAGGCCAACATGCTTACTAGCGTCTCTGAGCCTAGTTGGTTATCTGCAAATCCAAATCCTGCCAGGACAAACGGAGACAACGTTTGTAAAGCGTTTATCAAATCGCCGGGCGCCGCTAGCACTTTCGCGGACAGAAAAGCCACGGCAGGGTTAGCTCGGGAGTGAGCAGTGGATGGAGCGTATCTAATTCTCCAAGGGAACCTTCTCCTTTTTCCGGTCTAGAAGACCAACCAAAGCTCTCCCAGCTGATTCCATCCGCCTACGGAAAGGAGAACCTGCGTGCAGCCGATACACTGTCCCTTTAAGAGCCTGCCTCCTCCGCCCTCCTCCCGCCCGCGCCTAGGCGAAGGCGGAACCGGAAGTCGTGGGGGACGCGCCGGTCCCCAGCATGGCGGACGCCTGGCCCTCTGGGCCGGCTCTTCCCGATGCCGTGGCTGCCCAAATCCTGAGTGTCCTGTGGTTTATGTCAGTCAGCACGGGACCTTGGGGAGCTGCCGCCGCCGGGAGCGACGAGATGCTTAAGTGCGAGGACCTCAAAGTAGGACAATATCCTCTGTGAAGATCACCCCCTTGGGGGCGAGGTAGATTTGGGGTCGCGAGTGGGTCGCGGCCCTCAACGTGTGCTAGAGTTGTATTGCAGGGAATGGTGATTTGTGGCCTCTAATGACAGAGGGGCCCTGGGAGGTGAAGAGCAATGTGGGATGGGAGGAACAGAGGCCACCCTGTGTGATTTCCTTGGGACTTTACCATTGTTGGCTCTTCCTCTTCTGATCCACCTGTGTTTTTACTGGTGGGTTTTTTGTTTTGTTTTGTTTTTTCTCAATAACACATAAATGCTGAAGTAAGGCAAGGGCCTAGTCTAGGCACTAATAATAAAAAGATTGACAGGCTCCACGCTGGAAGTTTGCCAACTTGGGGTGAGACAAATAAGTTAAAGATATAGCCAGTGCATGTTGCCCATTTATTATTACCTTTTCAAGTATTACCTTATATCATTCTTAAACTCGGTGAGATACCAGACTGTCAGGGGCAAATTCTGTAACGGGGAGCAAATTATTTGAATTTTGTGTTATCATGAATAAAAATATAGATAACAATGTAACCAAATTGAAGGTCTGTTGTGATAAATTAGTACTA